TTCACACTTCCCCACATTAAGTTCCATCTGCCACCTACTTGCTTACTCCCCTGGCCTATCTATATCCCGTTGCAATCTTTTTGCATCATCCTTAGAGCTTATTCTCTCACCTAGTTTGGTGTCATCCGCGAATTTAGATACTTTACATTCAACGTCCTCATCTAGATCATAGATGTAAATTGTAAATAGCTGAGGCCCCAGCACTGATCCTTGTGGCACTCCACTAATCACATTCTGCCAATTTGAGAATGACCCATTTATCCCTACTCTCTGTTTTCTACCCGTTAGCCACTCTTCAATCCATGCTAATATGTTCCCATTAATCCCGTGGACCTTAACCTTGTACAATAGCCTTTTGTGTGGCACTTTGTCAAATGCCTTCTTAAAATCTAAATATACTACATCTACTGGCTTCCCCCTATCTAACCTGCTAGATACATCTTCAAAAAACTCTAAAAGATTAGTTAAGCATGACTTCCCTTTGGTAAAGCCATGTTGACTCTGCCTAATCCTGTTATGGTCTTCCAGGAATCCCATAGCGACATCCTTAATTAAGGACTCAAGAATTTTCCCTACCACTGATGTCAGACTAACTGATCTATAATTCCCCATCTTTTCTCTCCCACCCTTCTTGAATAGTGGTGTTACGTTTGCAATCTTCCACTCAATGGGAACCGTTTCAGAATCCAGAGAATTTTGGAAGACCAAAGACAAGCCATCCACTATCTCAGTAGCCACCTCTTTTAAAACCCTAGGATGTAGGCCATCAGGTCCAGGAGATTTATTAGTTTTAAGACCTGACAATTTATCTAAAACCATTTCTTTGCTAATATTAATTTACCCAAGTTGCTCGCTAACAGTATCTTCTTGGTTCCCTCTATTCTTGGTAGGTTTTCAGTGTCTTCTAAGGTGAAGACAGTGGCAAAGTACTCGTTTAATGACTCTGCCATGTCTTTGTCCCCTACTGTAATTCCCCCCGTCTCTGCCTCTAACGGACCCACATTTACTTTTGACAGCCTCTTTCTCTTTATATATTTGTAAAAACTGTTGCAGTCTGTCTTTATGTTTCTCGCTAGTTTGCCCTCATATTCCATTTTCTCCCTCTTAATCACTTTTTTGGTTCTCCTTTGTTGATCTCTAAAGTTCTCCCAATCCTCAGGTTTACTACTCATGTAGGCTTCTTCTTTTAACTTTATACTTTCCCTAACTGCTCTAGTTAGCCACGGTTGGGCCACCTTTCCCGTGGCATTCTTATTCCTCAAAGCTACCCTCTTGTGTTCATTGATTTGTGTAAGGCTTTTGTCCCAGTGCCTCACAAAGCCATCGTGACAAAACTGGAAGCTGTGGATTTTATTCAGGAAATGTATTCCAGCTCCAAGATCTGTTAAAGGTTGATGACAAAGCTCACCTGGAGTTTCTCATACCAGCTACCCACCTGATGAGAGCACAAAATTGCACTTGTCAGATGTTAGTTGACCAACTAGTGACCACCTCCTGGGGGAGGCTGTTATCAGGGTCTCCTTGGAGCTGAACTGAATATTGGAATCGAGACAATCCACTGTGGCAGTCTCGGTAATCCGGATCCTGATTCAGGCGGGTCCACAGCTTTCCAGGGCATTTTCATACTGAACTATGCTGCTGACCAGGAAGCTCGCAGACAGCACCCAGCTGACCCCAAAAACAAGGGGAGAGAGAACTTTTCTCATTCAACACTTTCGCAGTCGCAACATCAAAAAACAAATTGAAAACGAACCGATTAAAAAGCAGCAAAGGATTCTGTGAGAAGGAAATTGTGTCCTTCAAAGGGCGTCAATATCTTTCGAACTGTTGCAGTTGGAAATCTTTTCAGAGTGTTTTGCTTCATTGTCCTGCCCGATTAAGAGGAATATAAAACAGTCTCCCCCCCACCCCCCCACCTACAAACACACACACACACACGTTCACAAAACCATCTGCCTAGCTTACTTCAGGAAACTATTAATAAAAGAAAGTTAGATAAATAAACTTTGGGAAAGGTTTTTCATTTTATTGACCCCAGTCTTAACTGTCATGTCATTGTGATTTTTTTTTTTCTAAAGCTATTTCATAACATTCAATGAAACCACAGATTAAGTTTTACTGCAGGGAGCGTGCCTGGCAAAGAAACTTGGCAGTTTGCTTACCATGAGCAATTCATTTACGCAAGATGCAACTGGGTGTTCACAGATATCAGGAGATCAAGCTCAGCCTGTCGGCTATTGGTGCTTGGAAGACAGGGTGATTTTCTTCCACCTATCACAGATTATGTCCTGTGGTCTTAAGTAACTTCAAATCATGTTCAAACCCACGCTTCTGGCACTGGTGTGGGCTTGCTCATTGTCGCAGACTATCTACAATCTATATAATGTAAAGTGAAATATGATAACTATTGCGACTTTGGTCCCAACTCAGAACTATTTCCATGCATCAAAATCTTTAACAAATATCAAGTAATACAAAAAATGGTGTATTCACAAAAATGAGAATGCGTAGTCATAATATTAATTCTTACATTTGATTTAGTAGGATATCTCAAAGCACGTCACAGAATAAATTAAGAAACTTCCTTGTAGCATCCTTGATACGATACAGATTGCAATTGAGATGTATTGCAGCCTATTATTTGATATTTGATAACTTTATTTGATTATCAAATTTGATTATTTGATAACTTTCTCCCCATGTCGCTCCACTCCTGGTCTGGGCCCCTCTTGCTGGGTTGCGGTTCCACAGGTGCTGGTTGCCAGCTAGTCTGCCCCATCGTGTACGTGTGAGCCTTGGTGAATTTCGGCAGCCACTCAGTTGTCAAAGCTAAGCTCGATACTTGCCCTCCCTACTGGCTGCCACACACTGCACTACCAGCAGACAGTGCTACAAACGGACCAGGAGCAAGGAGTCTCGCTGGGCTTCCCCTCATAAACTCAGGGAGGTCAGAGCCAATTTAGGCTCTTCATTCCGCCCCGGCTAGGGCCAATAACCTCATTGGAGACCAGGATTTGAATCAGCGAACTCCTGGTCCATCAGCTGTATCGATGTCTCCACTACACCATCAGGGCTGCCATAGAAATTATGTTCAACACATTTCAAGAAAGATACCAGGACGTTTTTCTTTATGCAGAAGGTAATCAAATGACTGGAATAGGTTGCTAGAAAAAGTGCAACTGCCAGGAAAGTGGACTCATATGCTTGATGCTGTGATGGTAGGGTGGGTGTTCTGAAAGAATGAGATAGGGTTAGTTCTTCATCCAAACCAATCTTATCATTTTATATGCCCTGAAGTGCTTTGAGATGTCCTCCTAAAGTGAAAGATGCTATAATAATAATAATCCTTGGACTTGATATAGCTCTTTCAATGTTTTCTAGAAGTCTCAAAGCACTTCACAGAATATACGGTAAAGTGAATTGACTGTATATTTGTGGGCGAAACGTGGCAGCCAATTGTGCACAGCAGTGTCCCACAAACAATCGTGGATTGAAAATGACCAATTTATTATTGTTTTGTTTTGGAGGGATTATTATTAGGCGTGTGGAGTAAGGAAACTTGCCCAAGGTTTTGCCCTGCCTGGAATTGAACCCGGGTGTCTCGATTGCAAGGTGAGTGCTCTAACCACTGAGCTACAGGACTCCACAAAAATACGAGTAAGGATTATTATTTTCCTTTTAGCATAGGCTTGATGACAATATTCCGTTGCTGTAATTCCTATGAGTTACTGATTCTAAACGAGGCAACTGGTTGCTACCAGAAGATGTGGCACTCTAGATTGTCCCAGACTAGAAAGGGTGTTAAAGGCATTAAACTAAAGCAAAGACAGGTGAATAAAGCATGAGATTGTGAAAATGAACAGAAGGTTGATCAGTATCTCAAAAAGAAAGATTGGTTAACATTTTATGCAGTGCCTTCTTTAGACCTCAAATGATAAAAGTTATAGTAAAATCTATGGATATGCAACAAAGTATAAGGAGAAGCAATAGCAGCAACAATTCTAGCTTTTCTTGTTGATATGATAACCATTTGTTCATCTTAGTTTGTATAAGGAAAGAAATCCTCGTTTATGATATTGCACCTATAACGTCTCAGAGAAGTTTGTAGGTAATTGCTGTCAAGTGGAGTGACTGTGTAAGTGTAGACAAATCTGTTTTTGCTACTGTTCATGGAGTTTGGCATTTGAGTGCCGCTAAAAATAAATGTTCTGTTTCCTTTTTTGCTATAATTATTTCTCACATTTCATAATTCTTATCACTACTTTCCATCTCTTGCCAATCAACTATCATTTGCAAATGCTAACATTTCTCAGTTTAAACTAGGTTAAATAGCTCACCATGAAAGACTTCCCATGGTCTTGATGGCATCGTCCCTTTATAACAGTAAAATTAATTCAACAAAACATGTTTTTTCTGAGAATTTTTTTCTGTTCCTAATTAAATATCCTTTATGGTGCTTTTGCAAGTCACGCAAGGGAAACATTGAACTGCAGAAAGTGTTGTGTAAAAGGCAAAATCAGGATGATTCTGAATAACAAAGGGAGCCGGGGGAGAGGGGTGTGTATATGAAAGGTACTGATTTAAAGACTGGACAAAGTTCAGTGTGCCAATAAGTTTTCATTTTAAATTCTGGGCCTTTCCTTACTGTAACACAAGACTTAAAATTATGATATATGTTGTGTTAATAATCACCAGTGATGATAATAATATTAATAATAGTAACAATCCTTGCATTTGATATAACGTCTTATCACTTTGTTGAGATGTCTCAAAGCACTTCACAGAATATACTGTAAAGTGGATTGATTGTGTATTTTGTGGGGGGACATGTATTTATCTTATCAGGAACTTGCATCCTTAATAATATTTCATTTTCACAGTTAGATATTTAACCGGAGATATCTAACCGTGAAAGTGAAATATTATTGAACGTTCAAGTTCCTGTTTAGATAAACAAATTCTTTTATGACTTGCTTTATTGTTTGAGTTGACTCTTGTGACTATGTTTCTAAAACAATTGCAGTATTTTGCATCCTGACATGGTAACAGTCTACAATGTCTACTTTTGTCACAACAGTGTGGTGACCAGCATCAGACTTCTCCACTGGTCCATAACCAGCGGAGACAGATATAATATACCGACCTGGGGATGAAAAAGAGAATTTAGGAGAAACTACTTCACACAGAGGGTAGTGAGGAACTCGTTGCTTGAAGTAGTGGTTGAATCAGAGAGTATAGATGCATTCAAGGGGAAGCTAGACCTTCACAACAACAAATTGTATTTATTCAATGCCTTTCATGTCAGAGGACGTCCCAAGGCATTGCAGAGGGAAAAGAAGGATATGGGAGGTATTTGAGCCTGTGTCACTTACATCACAAGATTTCCATCTGTAATAACTTATCAATACAGGGTGGACAGAAAGGCTTTGAAACGTAGCCACAGAATTTTTCACTTGAACAGATAAGCTCAAGAACATAAGCAGTTACCACACTGAGATATACATCTGTCACAAGATTTATGAATGGAGCTGTTGCTCACATGGATTTTGAAAGCATTTAACAGTGTAAAAGGGCACAGCATTCCACTGCCATAAGTCATAAATCACTCTCCACCTAGAAATGATTTTAAGATATGATTTCAGAACAGAACCCAGTGAGATGTTAATTGGTGCTTGCATCATATCCAGGATTTGATTTTTGATTCTTAACAAAGAGCAAACAGGATAAAACCGCCCAAGCCAGCTGCTCCAAGAATGTCCTATCCCATTTTCACCACTTACACTCTGAGTTGTGCAAGGATCAACAGGCACAGACAATTTCTACTGCATCAGAATTAATGAGATATATAAAGAAACAGGAACAATTTATACCACCCTTAGTAAAACATCAGATCAGTGAACTGATGTCTCTCTTTGCTACAGCTGAAGTGATAACAATAATAATAATCCTTACATTTGATATAGCACTTTATCATGTCGTCAAGACATCTCAAAGCGCTTCGTAGCATATTGTGTAAAGTGAATTAATTGACTGTGTATTTTGTGGGCGAAACAATTTGATGTCGTTCCAGCAGTAAAGTGAGTTGAAGCAGGTTTGAATTGTCATTTGTGAGCTGCTATCTTCGCTATGAATGGAAACTCCTTTCTGATCAGGTGAGTGCCAAGGAACAGGGTGGTGTTAGATGAGTGGAGGGAATGACCAGGTGACAGGCAGGGGTGATAGCCCTGGGTGGACTGGTTATACGAGAAATTGGGAAATTTCCCCGAATGCCCCGTGAATGGTTTCCGAGAGAGGGGCTCCATGATTGGCTCCCAATACTCACCACCCCAGAGTCCAACATGTGGGTGAATGACAGATCAGACAAGCCAAACATCACCCATCCTCCCTGATGACTGACAACTACAAGACCAATTATCGCCTGGATCCTGTCCAACTTTGCACCCGTGGATTGATGCCCCTGGTTTACCCCAAAACCCTGAGCCTTTTCAGGGAGCCAGACTCCCACTGATGGTAGTGTCAGGAGTAGGGTGGGGCAAGGCTGTCGAGAGAAGTGAAGGTCAGGATAGGATCTTGAATTTAATCCGCTGAGGGATGGGGAGCCAGAGAAGCTGAGCTTGGATGGGAGTGGTAGGCTTACAAAGGCTGGTGCAGAAGAGTACACAGATAGTTTGCAGCTTACGTAGGGAGAAGTTGGGAGTCCGGTCAGCAGGGCATTTGATTTATCAAGTCTCAACATGGTGAAGATGAGGAACTCAGCTGTCCAGAGACATGTATCTAGCAACGAACGGCAGCCCCATCACATCAAGGCTCGATTACGGGAACTCCCTCCTTATCGGCCTTCCCAACTCTTCCCTTCACAAGCTGCAGATCATCCAAAACTCTGCAGCTCATGTACTCTCACGCACCAGGCTCCGCGACCCCATCACTCCCACCCTCGCCTGACTCCACTGGCTCCCCATCCCCCAGAGGATCGAGTTCAAGATCCTCGTCCTCACTTTTAAGGCTATCCACGGCCTTGCCCCCTCCTACCTCTCTGACCTGCTGACTCCCTACCAACCTGCCCGCTCCCTCCGTTCAGTGCCTGCTCCATGTCTGCCGCCTGACCTGCCCTACCATCGGTGGCCGGGCTTTCAGCCTCTCTGCCCCCACACTCTGGAACTCCATCTCACAGTCCCTTCACCTCGCTTCCTCCCTTGCCTCCTTCAAGGCTGGTCTCAAGACCCTTCTCTTCGATCATGCCTTTGCTCGCCCTCCCACCTCTCTGCCTTCCCTCACCTCTACACCACCCCTCCCCCATGCTCGGGCCCTGACACCGGACTGTTCAGCTCTTTGGGACGTATTAGTGCTTCTTTGCATTATTAGCACCTCTATTCCCCTGCTTTGTTCAATCCGTCCCCCCTTTGTTTTGCATCATTAACACCTCTTTAGCCCATCATCCCCTGTCCTCTACCCCATTTTCTGCTTTGTCTTCCTTGACCTGCCTCCCCCCTCTCTGTTAGCCCTTAAAAGCCTCTCCCTCTCAAAATGCCCCAGTTCTGATGAAAGGTCTAGGACCTGAAATGTTGACTCACTTTCCTTTCTCCATAGATGCTGCCTGACCTGCTGAGTGTTCCCAGCGACTTCTGTTGTTGTTTCAGACTTTACATTATATCCTGTGAAGCGCTGATGTTGTGATAAGGGGCTATGTTAAATGCAAGGATTATTATTACTTCTGACTTTGTTTAAAAAATACATGTAGTGATTTATACTTTTGCTTTTGGCCACTTACACAGAATTACCAAAACAACTACTAATTCAAAGAATGTGGTCTGCCTGAGTATGGCTGACAAGAAACTCAGACTTTCATTGATATTTCAATACCTTGAGAAAATTTGAAGACATAATTGCTGGTATAAATCATCTCTAAAAATCACTTGCAATGCGCTTTTTCCTATTCTACCTGTACTCAGTGAGACTTTGGCCAATAGGCAGGTCCTCAATGAATGCTAGAATGTGTTGCAGCAAGACAAACTATTTAACCTCATTGAAACTCACATCCTGCTTCAAGATATATACAATAGAATGCTGATTGAATCTCAAGAGGAAGCAGCGATATCTCACTTCAATCCATGTTCTGTACAAATTGGTCACAAGATAGGTTTAGATGAAGAACGCCTTTCAGCCCATTTGATATCATCTTTCTAAAATGTCTATCTTAACTTCTTTCCATTACTGTGCCAAGCTGCTTTGCAAATGAACCCAGTGCCCTGTCCTCTCCACCTTTTTTCGAATCTATTCACTAATTGTGATGTGAATGTTGTGTTACTATAGCACACTGAAAAGTAAACAGGTGGAATTCTTTCCATACCAACTATGAGAAAAAAGTAGTCAAGGTTTGAATTGTTATTCATTATCATTTATGGTCTACATTAGAGTGAAACCAAAGTCCACAACTTATTGTTATTGTTAAAGTGGTATTGTAGCCCCAGAGGTTTTATTTGGCCAGCCTGGTGCCTGACACATGCAAAATCTCATTGCATGGTTAAGGGTTTCCAAACCAGATATGTTCCATCCTTGCACCTACACATGGAAATGCCCATGTTTGGAATGTGCACTCTATCCCCGGATGGATGCACCCTGCTTGCCCAATTCCAAAGGGTATGAGGCACAGATTGTGCTGGAGTTCAACTAGCTAAAACCATACAGCTTGCCATTAAGAGAAATGTCTGGCAAGGCACCCCCTGCTTGTTCAGCAAGGACCACCCTACCTAACGTGGCTTTGACTAGCAGGGTTAACAGGAGCTGAGTAGGAAGAATTCACAAAGTGCCAACCCACCTTAGAACCAGCTCAACTCCAAGGACGCACTGCCTATTCGCCCCCACACTCCCCGAATCCCCTAAAGGAGGATAAAGGAGGAAATCACAATACTGTTTTGTTCTGATACATTTATTATTAAATGCAAGGGATTGCATTACTAAAACAACGAATGATAAAAAGCTATATGTATATATATTTCATATATATATATATTTCATATATATAAGAAAGAACCTACATTTTTATTGAGCCTTAACACAAAATACTTCACATGTGTAATGACTATTTTTGTAAACAAATATAGCAGCAAGTTGTGCCAACAAGGTACTATCAATTATTTTGAAGTGAGTGATCAATTAATCTGGATGATTGTTGGTCAGGAACCCAGGGAGAACCTCCTTACTTTTTGGAATGGTATCAATGGATGTTTGAAGTCCAGCTGAACAGAATCAGGTCTCATCTGAAAGGCAGCACTTCTGACAATACAGTGCTCCACAATACTGCACTGGAGTGTTAGCCTTGACTGTGAACTCATGGCCCAGCCTGGGGCTTGAACTCACAACCTTCTGAACCAGAGGCGAGAGTGGTATCATCTAGCAAAACTAATGGCGAAGAGTGTATACCCAACTGAACTGTATATAAGGCTTAATACAAAGGTAGGTTTTGAAAGACCCTTCAAATTGTCACAATTAGTGACCACTGATGTTTACTAAATTCACATCCTAATTATATATCTTAAGCACAAGTCTAGATCTAAAAACATGCCCAAGAGCTCTGAATCGTCGATCTTCTGATAAAACGTTTGAGCCACATGATGTATGTAGTTGGGAATAATTGTGATGTAGATCGGGCTCTTAAAGTATTGACATAACAGAGAATTACAGAATTGAGCCTGAACAGAATGTTTGTGTCTGCACATGCACAACATATCTCAAAGATAGATTGCTTTAGAATATCCAGTATGCTGCTACCTTATTCAGTCACATAGAAGTTACCAGCAGGCTTATCAATTAATCATCACAGACAAGAAAATAGTTAAATATTGTCATATAAAAATTGATCAATGAAGAGGCAGTACATTTTCAGCATTAATTATGATAGCATTTTATTATATAATAGTAGAAGAGCGCATTGAAGTTCAAAATTGGCATTTGCTGCACAAAATAATAGAGAAGTTAAATTATTATTACCAGGTATGTCAATCTCTGATATCTACTTGTGTATAAGACTTTTAACTCACATAATCAAAGCTCACACAATACAGAGCTGAGCATTCATGAAAAAGTCTGTTAATTCCACAAAGCTCATCCCCCTAGTACAGTAGTGGCCAACTTTTTTGGTCGACC